CACACACACACACACACACACACACACACACACACACACACACACACACACACACACACACGCACACACACACTGATACAAGAGTATATATACACACACACACACTGATACAACAGTATATATACACACAAACACACATATGTATATACAAGCGATCACACACACACACATGCACATATATGTTAAATATATATACACACACATACACACACAGTAACAGGCACACACACATATACACAAAATGTATATGCATATATACAAGTGACCACAGGGGTGATGGCTGGTTGTCATTATTGGTACACATGGCTGCAACGCTTAATGGTCGATGGCTAATTGTATTATGGGGCTCCCCGAACGCACCCTATACACCCATTTGGTCTTGTTCCCAGGCATAAGGGAGGCACCTCTAATAATTGCTTGAGGCTACGCGAATAATAAACTGAGGGTCTGGGACGGGCCTTGGGCGTGGACGATAAGGAACCCCCTTCCACTTGAAAATAAACGCCTATACTCGAGTCCCCTGATGTATGGTCATTAGGAGTTCGCACGATCGGTGGATGGGTACTAGAGTAAGTCGATCTGCTGACCGACCAATGGGACATGTGCATTGGGCCAATGACCCTCAAGAACCAGGTCGCCCATGATCTAGACAACTCGAGGGATTTGATAATGGGACGGTAGTGCCCCGATAATGATCTCATGGGTAGCCAATTTGGGGATCGGCAAGAACCAGGTAGGTTCCAGACTCAGTATCCCAATCCAGGCAGGGATGGTCTGTATCAGAAAGACCGACTATAGAAGGCCCACTGCATAAGAGGTGGATGACGCCGGACTCGAACACCTGCCGGCAATTTGGAAAACTGGTGACCCGGCGCAGACAGGGTGCACAACGTTTGAAATTGCCCGCATTTCCCCGGGTGATTTTCAAGGGTACGGTTTTTCCGGAAAATACACGCCAGAAACAACGAGGTGTAGTCCCCTGTCCGTCCTCCTATATGTATCACTGCACCTCATCATTGTTCTTCGTCTCTGTTGGCATTTGCATTGTGCGACCTGGAGGCTTGTGTGTGCTTTCACTTGACTGGCTATGGCGGCACTTCATCTGGAAGGCATTCTCTACGGGGACCTCGTGGGATCCCAGAGCGACGAGGAACTGGTATTAAGCCCTTCCTGTTACTTACCCACCTGACTGTGAATGGAAGTGTTGGCAGTATGGAATGCTTGGCCGTGTTTGTGTTGTGTATGCAGGCTATGGAATCCCTCTGATGAGCCAAATAGTGGCGTTTGGCGAAAAACGTTTTAGGGGCTTGCCACACCCTTTCTGCTTCAACCTCAGCGGCTTGTTCCCTGCTTCTTCCAAGATTGCCTGTCAAAGTGATCCTCATCAGGCCTCCTCGTTTGAATGTCACGTGTCGTGCCCAAGTATCTACATGTCATTTTTGCATCAAGGTTGTTCTGCCTAAGCGTTGTAATCAGGCCCTTCGCTCGACAGTTAATAGATTATTATGGTGGAGTGAGCATGCAGTGATCGATTGTGGAATGTTGTTCCCCTGATCTGTACTAAGGAGTAGAGTTGATTGATATGGCAACGATCTCTTTGATATTATTTGTCCCAGGCCTTAGTGGACTAGGAACCTCCCTCTATTAGGTATAGCAGTACCTGGTGTTGGAGTAGCAGCAGTATCTAGCGGCCATTCTGTGACTTACACCGATCGTCATAATTGTGTTCCTCACTATGAAGGGTTCTTGGTAATCAGAATTGGTGAAACATTACGCTCAATATTCTCAAGGTTTTTTTTCTGAAACTTAGGTAGTATGAATGAGGTAGTATTATTGCACAAAGCTATGATGAGTGAGTCGCACTTCGAACTGTTCAAAATTCTCCATGTGGTGGGGACTGGGGAATAATGACGTCGGATCAATTGACTTAATACAGTAATCATGTCAGGGCGTATGGATTGAGTCCTCTTTCCCTCCCTTTCCACCCCCCCTTTTTTCTTTAATGCCGGTAGTTCGAACAATGTAGGCAGTCGACCAATGAACCATCGCTTAATCCCTCTCTATCTCTCTCTCTCTCTCTGCTCCTCGCTTCGTTAAAAGTGGCTTGCCACACCCTTCCTGCTGCAACCTTAGCGGCTTGTTTCCTGCTTCTTTCAATATTGCTTGTAAAAAGTGAACCTCATCAAGCCTCCTTGTTTGAATGCCACGTGTTGTGATCAAGCATCTACATGCCATTTTTGCATCAGGGCTGTTCTGGCTAAGCGCTATAATCAACCCCTTCACTCGATAATGATTGGGTTATTATGGTGGAGTAAGCATGCAGCCATCGGTTGTGGAAGGTTGTTCCTCTTATATATACTAAGGAGTAGGGTTGATTGGTATGGTCACGAGCTCTTTGGCTTTATTTGTCCGGGGCCTTAGTGGACGAAGAACATCCCTCTATTACTAGACTATTAGGTATAGCAGTACCTGGTGTAGAAGTAGCAGCGGTAACAAGCGACCACTCTGTGACTTATACCGATCGTCATAATTGTGCTTCTCACTATGAAGGGTTCTTGGTAATCGGAATTGGTGAAACATTACCGTCAATTTCTCAAAGGTTTTTTTTCCGAAACTTAGGTAGTATGAATGGGGTAGTATTATTGTACAAAGTTTTGATGAGTGAGTCACACTTCGAACAGTTCAAAATTCTCTGTGCGCTGGGGACTGAGGAGTGATGATGTGGAATCAATTGACTTAAATACAGTAATTATGTCAACATGTATGGATTAAGTCCTTTTTCCCTCCCTCTCCACCCCTCCCCTTTTAGCTTTGAGGCCGGTAGTTCGGACATACTAGGCAGTTGACCAATGAACCGTCGCTCAATCCCTCTCTATCTCTCTCACTCTCTCTGCTCCTCGCCTGGTCTAAAGAGGCTTGCCACACCCTTCCTGCTTCAATCTTAGCGGCTTGTTCCCTGCTTCTTCCAAGATTGCCTGTAAAAGTGATCCTCGTCAAGCCTCCTCGTTTAAATACCAAGTGTCGTGCTGAGGTATCCACATGTCATTTTATCATCGAGGTTGTTCTGGTTGAGCGTTATATTCAGACCCTTTGCTCTTGAGTAACTGGATTTTCATGGCGGAGTAAGCATGTGGTCATTGGTTGTGAAAAATTGTTCCTTTGATCTGTATTAAGGAGTAGGGTTAATTTGTAAGGCCACACGCCCTTTGGCATTATTTGCCCCAGGCCGTAGTGAACTAGGAACCTCCCCTTACTAGATATAGCAGTACCTGGTGTAGGGGTAGTAACACCAAACGAGCGTCCATTCTGAGACTTATACCAGTCGTCATAATTATGCTCTTCACTGTGAATGGTTCTTGGTAATCAGAATTGGTGAATCATTACGGTCAATTTCTCTAAGAATTTTCCGAGACATAGGAGGTGGTGGTATTGTGCAAACCTATGATGAGTGAGTCGCACTTTGAACTGTTCAAATTTCTCCGTGCGGTATTGACTAGGGAATGATGACGCGGAATCAATTGACTTGATATAATAATTATGTTGGGGCGTATGGATTGACTCCTCTTTCCCTCGCTTTCCCCCCTTTCCCTTTTGTCTTTGATACTGGTAATTTGGACAAACTAGGCGTCCATGGTGTGGCGGGCACTCCACCAATGAACCATCGCTTAACCACTCTCGATCCCACTTTCTCAGCCCCTAGCCTAGTCTAATGATTTTTTCGATGTCTAGTATGGCCATGGCTTACATGATGGTGTGTTCAAGTAATCGATGCCTGCAACCCACGGTCCGTATCCCCCTCTGATGCGCTTCACATTGGTACCTATGCCCTCTTCACGTTGACGCTGGTAGTCGGAGACTTCTCTCTCTCTCTCTCTCTCTCTCTCTCTCTCTCTCTCTCTCTCTCTCTCTCTCTCTCTCTCTCTCTCTCTCTCTCTCTCTCTC